AAAAAAAAAAGGCGGGGGCGGGGAGGTTGAGGGCGAGGGCATGCAGATCCTGTAAAAGAATTCAACTAAAGCAGAGCTTGCATGCCTCAGTTCAGGCTTCCAAACCCAGAGGTTTCTACTGTCTACCTATAATTGTGCCCTTACTCTCCAGGCAACCAACAGCCTCCCCTTCTTCCAGCCTCAAGACTGTAATACTCCACAGAGTTGCTGGAGGGGTCGTTGCAAAGAGAAAGAGCAAGTGCAAGCGTGGGAGGGGCAGAGGGAGAGGGAGAGAGAATCCCAAGCAGGCTCCATACTGTCACTGTAGAGCCAGACAAGGGGCTCTATCTCACAACCATGAGATCATGACCTGAGCCAAAATCAAGAGTCAGATGCTTAACCAGTGAACCACCCAGGTGCCCCTGGAGGGATCTTTAAAAAACAAATTACAACTATCCCTGCCCCTTGTGTTCAGCTATACAAACTCTTCCTTAGCTGGGAATGTACCGGGTCCATTCCATCTCAGCCTTTGCTCTGCTGTTCAGCTGGACTGTCTTCCACTCTTCTCTATTTGGCTCTCACTTGCCCTTTAAAATCTAGCTTCCTGGGGTAACTGGGTCAGTCAGTTAAGTATCTGACTCTTGATTTCAGCTCAGGTTGTGATACCAGGGTCATGGGTTCGAGCCCTGCATGGAGGGAGCATGGAGCCTCTCCTGTCTCTCTTCCCTACTCTCATTCTCTCCCTCTCTCTCTCTCTCTAAAAAAAAAAAAAAAAAAAATTAAATTAAATTAGCTTCCTGAAGCACTGCCTAATTTTCACCCCAAGAGCTCCCTTGCCCTTTGTCCACATCCTCCAGTGATACATCCTGATCAGAAATCTTGCTGTCCATTCTTTTTTTTTCTTTACTTTTTTTTAAGTTTATTTATTTATTTTGAGAGAGAGAGAGAAAACAAGCAGGGGAGGGGCAGAGAGAGACAGGGAAAGAGAGAATCCCTAGCAGGGTCTACACTATCAGTGCAGGGGGCTTGATCCCACAAACTGTGAGATCGTGACCTGAGCTGAAAGCGAGAGTCAGGTGCTTAACTGACTGAGCCACCCAGGTGCCCCACTTGCTAGCCGTTCTTTATGGTCCTACCACCCAGGACTCTGCCTGACCACGCAGTTTGAACTGAAGATTGTAGTTAAGGATGGCACAATTGGTATTTTCTAAAGGAACTAGTCGGATAAGGTATAATCAAAAGTAAAAGAGAAAACGGGGAAATGAGCCTATGGCCTCTCTGCAAAGTGACCGTAGCAGACGATAGATGCAAAATCTTTACTTGCAGGGTGCAGAACCTAGGAATAGAGGCAGTGTGTTTTAATAGAAATAGCAGGATATCTGAAAATTCTCTTTTGAACAGCAGGCATGGAGCTTGGCCCTTGGCTGGGTGCTGGGAACACACGGAGGTAAATATAGGAAGAATCCAAGAGGGTAATCTACAGAGAAATAAAAGCCATTGAGGCCTGGGGAAACTTCTATTTCTAAGCATTTTTTCAATTTCAACCTCTAAAATTTCTGTTTTGTGTATGTTTTTAAATATGTATAAGAATCATGTGTATATAATGTATAAATGAATAAATATACAGATATTTGTATATTCAAAGTGAATATGCAGAAATACATACTCAAAAGTGATTTGCTGGAGTACCTGGCTGGCTCAGTTGGTAGAGCATGGGACTCTTTATCTTGGGATTGTGGGTTCAAGCCCCACTTTAGGTGGAGAGATTACTTAGCAATAAAATCTTTAAAACAGTGATTTGCTGATGAGATTACAACAAAAACAGGGGAGAGGCCACAAAAATAGAGTGTGATAATGTGATAATATTTTGCTAGGACTAAACCAAAAAGTAGGGTGTTGTGGGAACCCCTATGTAGAAAGAACCACTGACCCAGCCAAGTGACTCAAGGCAGGAGATGAAGCCTTGGCTAAATCAATAGCCTGCATATTTCATCACATTTTCATCAACAGTGTAAAACAAAACAAAACAAAACAAACAAAAAACCTCTACTGTGACCAGGACAAAATTTAGGAGAGAAAAATTCCCCTGACCAGGAAAGCACTGCGGTAATATCACTTTCAAAAAACAAAATGGATTTCACAGTTCCCTCAGCAACGTCTATCTCTCTGTCTAGCTGACAAGTTTTTCCCAAATGTAAAAGCAAATGCATGGAAATGTAGGGACCCTGAAAAGCCAAAACTGTCTTGAAAAAGATCAAAGTTGGAGGACTTGCACCTGCCAATTTCAACACTGCAAAGCTATGCTAATCAAGGCAGTATAATACTGGCATAAGGAAAAACATGCAGATTACTGGAATAATATGAAGATTCCAGAAATAAACCCCTTACATTTTTGGTCAGTTCATGTTCAACAAGGATGTTAAGACAATTCAATAGGGAAAGAATAGTCTTTTCAACAAATGGTGCTGGGGCTACTGGATACTCACACGCAAAAGAAGGATATTAGACTCCTTCCTGCCACTGAATAAAATTAACTCAAAATGGATCATAGAGTTACATGTAAGAGTTAAAACTATAAATCTCTTGGTTTACATACAAGTAAATTTTTGTTACCTAAGGTTAGGTGGTGGATTCTTATATACAATCACAAAAGCAGGGGCGCCTGGGTGGGTTCGCCAGTTAAGCGTCAGACTCTTGGTTTCGGCTCAGGTCATGATCTTGTGATTTCGTGGGTCTGAGCCCGACGCTGGCAGCACAGAGCCTGCTTGGGATTCCCTCTCTCTCAGTTCCTCCCCTGCTCGCACTGACTCTGTCTCTCTCAAAATAAATAAACTTTAAAAAAAAATCACAAAAGCACAAGCAACAAAAGAAAAAATAGATAAATCGGACTTCATCAAAACTAAAAACTTTTGGTTGCAAGTAATACCATCAAGAAAGTGAAAAGACAGCCCCAAAATGGGAAGAAATATTTACAAACAATATATTGGATAAGAAACTTGTATTCAGAATATATAAAGAACTTTTACAACTCAATAAAAACACACACAAAACAAACACAATTAAAAATGGGCAAAGCAGACGAATAAACATTTCTCCAAGGAAGATAAACAAATGTCAATAATCAGAACAGAAAAGCTGTTCACGTTTGCCATTAGAGATACACAAATCAAAACCACAATGAGATGCCTGCCACTTCACGTATGCTAGGGTGACTATAATCAAAATGCAAAACAAGAACAAATAGGGGCGCCTGGGTGGCTCAGTCGGTTAAGCGTCCGACTTCGGCTCAGGTCATGATCTCGCGGTCCGTGAGTTCGAGCCCCGCGTCGGGCTCTGTGCTGACAGCTCGGAGCCTGGAGCCTGCTTCCGATTCTGTGTCTCCCTCTCTCTGCCCCTCCCCCGTTCATGCTCTGTCTCTCTTGGTCTCAAAAATAAATAAACGTTAAAAAAAAAAAAAAAACAAGAATAAATATTGTCAAAGATGCAGAGAAATTGGAACCCTCATACATTGATGGTATGTAAAATGATACAAGCACTTTGGGAAACAGTTTGGCACTTCTTCAGAATATTAAGCAGAGTTACCATATGACCTAACAATTCTACTCTTAGCTATATGCCAAGAAATTTGAAAACATCCGTCCACAAAAACCTGTACAAGAATGCTCATAGGCAGCTTTACTCGTAATAGCCAAAGAGTGGAAGCTGATGAATGGATTACTAAAATATAAGATATCCATGCCATGGAATATTACTGGCAATAAGAAGAAATGAAATACTGATACATAATACAACATGAATGAACCTTGAAAACATTATACCTCATCAAAGAAGCCAAACCCAAAAGGGTACATATTGTATGATTCCATTTGCATAAAACATCCAGAGGAGGCAAACCTTTAGAGATAGAAAGTAAATTCGTGGTTGGCTGAAACAGGGAGTGGGAATAGGAAGTGACTTCTAATGGGTACAAGGTTTCTTTGGGAACGATGAAAGTGTTCTAAAATTAGAGCGTGGCCTTGGTTGTACAACTCTGAATATGCCAAAAATTAAAATATAATAGCATACTTTATTTTTCTTTAAAGATTTTTTTACCTTTTTAAGTAATCTTTACACCCATGTGGGGCTCGAACTGACAACCCCCCAAAATTGTATACTTTATTTTTT